ATTATAGTGATTTCTAAATATTAAATTGCATTTTTGTGTTATACAAATCGTACTTGAGTCATTGATCACCAAACAAAACACAATAAGAAGAAATGTTGAGATAGGCAACGGAAATGTGAGATAAACTGGTTGACGCATTTAAAGTAATTATCAACTCATTACGGAAATACTTTAGATTAGAATTTTTACGTACTGGTGGTATATAAGACCAACAGACGCAGTCATCGAGTTAGTGTATAGTCGTTTGACTGCAGTGGATCTATCAATAGTACATTTGTGTTACTTCAATGCACCAAAGGCTATGGATGTAAGTGTTTATTCTATTGACTAAATTACTTTTTTTCTGTTATTTTCATGCGTGTGTATTATTTTATTTAAATATTGTGTATGTATATGATTAAGCCGTGGTAACTCAGATGGTTAGCATAGGCTGTAACTTTAACTTTTTTAACTTTTATGATTAAGTGTTAACAAATTAATATTAACATGATAACTGTGTTGTTGCAGAAATCATTGAGCTTCGATGAAAATACCTATAAACAGTATTACTACTCGCCACTCTCCCCTCAAGAAGAGAGTGATGACCTCGTCATTAATAATAACACATGCGATGGTGGAAAAAGAAAATCGCAATCGATTGATCATTTTTTTGAAGCTGAATCAAAAATAAAAAAGAGGAAGCTGTTATCATCAACCGTAGCACGAGCCGCTAGAGATGGTGTATCATATATTTCTACTAATTCTGACGACGGAGACCAAGCGACGCATCTCATCAAAATTGAAATGTATGATATGAAGAAGCTATCCAAGATTCCAACTACTGATCATTGGAAACATGCTTCCACGAGAATTAAATATTACGTAAAGACTAATAAGGATAGCATCTACGACAACACAAACGCCCTCGTATACAATATAACAAAGACAATAGCAGAAAGTGAAAAAGTTAAAAAATACTTTTTTAACAATGACAGTCATTAGCTGATCATTAGTGAATGTGATTCTGTTTACTTCAATTACTTCTGTGTACTCATTACATTCTATTTATAATCCTTTGCTAGACTATAAATATTGGACATTATTTGAAATTTTGGTATCAGTTGGTCTACGAACACTGAACTGTTACTTACTCTGCTATCTATTTTCTTCTTTACTATAAGGATGGAAAACTTCAGTGAAGTGTGCACCAGTGCTTTTTTCTCCACAATCATGGAAGAGAATACGGAACTATTCAATAGCGAATTAAATCAGGAGTGGTCTAAAGTTTGTGAAGAAATGGAGAGGGGTCAACTGTTCGATTCGTCATACGATGATGAGTTGTATCATCACTGTGCGATGGTTGAAACACAGTTTAAGTATGTAAAATAAACATTCATTTCGATCATAATTTACATATTGTCTTATACAGTTTTTAATAAATTTAAACATTTTAGCAGTCAACCACTACAACTTGGAAGAGGAACGAAGCGAACGTGCAGCAAAGAATCCAAGATCATCAAAAAACCAACAACGGAAGCAGAAGCGCATACCTCTGCAGGGAACAGTATCAGTAACGATGATCAAGTGGAATGTCCAACGTGCCATATATTTATCAAGAAACGGTATTTAGTTAATCATTTTAAAAGTAATGTTCATAAAAATAATCTTTTAAATTCACATAATTCTTTATCAAACGTTAGTGTTATTGAATCTGCTTTTGGAAATAGGATTTTAACTTATAAAATCAAGAGTAGAGTAGATCGTTCGACATGGGTAAATTTTGAAACTCCTGAACTATTTTTAAATTCTATTAAAGATGATATTTTATTTTTATTACAAGAGTGTATTCATCAACACATAATTTTTTAGGTAAACTTCATATTGCATGCTGATTTTGTTCAACAAACTAAAGATATTCATGATACGTTCGATTTTCAAACGCTTAACTATATTATTTGTCAAGGAGATGACTTAAATATTTTTCTTTCTTCTTTAAATGATACAATTACTACTAAAATTAGTGCTTTCGAAAAAAAAGATAGTGGATGGAGTCTAAAAAACATAAAATCTATAGACCTGAATGTTAATAAAGGACATTGCTCTGCGCCCATACATTGTTCGCCCTGGAACCAAGAGCATCGGAAAATTATGTATTTTATTGTTGATCATTAGTAAATTCCTTTTTGATCTTATTTTTATAGCGGACTAGCTGCATAATAGATATATTTCAAAAAAAGTATCAGATTTTGAGGTTATAATCGAACCATGAATATTACGGTTTTTCATAGATCCGAGTGATTTTTAACAAACTGAAAAACGATGTCCTAAAACATTTAGCTATTTCCAGTATCTATCTACATAATTAGGTATGCAATTTTTGTTCTAAAGCCTAAGTGTATGTAAGTGCAACGTATAAATGCATAGAATGTAGTTAACAAACCTGCTTTCTGAACATTGGTTTTGAAATGAGAGATAATGTATGTGTGTATTAATGTAAAAATAAAAATATATGTATATAATGGCTGTTAGCATTTAGATTTTGTCATTAGCATATACGTTACGGTAAGATACCTAGTACCTAAATGTATAAGGATTTAGGCTGTCAGTCACGCCGCTAGACATGCCGTCGAACAGCGAGCGTATTAACCACGGTTTCAACCAAGTTTCAACAGCGCGCGCATGAACAAGGTGAATATTATAGACTACTATCTAGTACATTTGCAAGCGTGTGCGTCTGGACGGCGCTGTTAAAACGCGTGACTATGAAACCAGCCCTACCGACTTAGTACCTAATTGGTAGTATAAGTTGTTTTTACACGTACATTAATTTATTATGTTTGAATTAGAAATAAAACACAGATTAATTTCATGTTTATTGTTCATTTTCTACGTACGTAGGTTCTACGTACAACGATGCAATTACAGCAATATTGCACGATTGCTTCTCTGTTCATCTTTAAACAATATTGTACCACCAGCAAAGCCGCTATTTACACAAAATACACTTTCCATTGCGTATGCGTAAGTCCGTTTATGAATGCTAGGTTATCGTTTGAGTGGTACACAGTTCCAAAAATCACAGCAAGGTAAGTCGTATTCTTGAAAGCAATCAGAGTCCGTTAAAATAGCCAAGTCGTAATGTTCAATATATAGTCCCGAAAGTCACCACAACACCGATACAATTATGTACAAAGACAATTACAATTGCAAACGACGCCAACCAATGTAACTTTGACAGAATTAGAGATGACGGTACAAAGTAGGCATGTCCATTTGAAATCGTTTAATCGATTGTTTATAGTAACAGAATCGATTTTCCAGATCTATATAGATCTGAAGAATCCTTGTCCGATATCGATACAGAAACCTCTCAAATCGGACTTATTCAAGAACTAGCTATATTTCAAACGATTCAAGAAATACTTTTGCATAGTTGGAACACCTGTTCCTTGTGACAGACAGAAAAACTGTTCTGTTCTGGGTTCAATCCCAGGGTCGCGAAAATTATTATTGGGTTTTTATAACTTGAAGTTCCCATTAGTAGCACGGAGTCTGGATTTGTGTCCGGTGTTTGGCAATACGCGCATTCCCTATTACATGGAATGTATAACATAACAGTACTTACACACCTCTACCTACTCCTTCTGGAAAATACTGGCGTAATGTTATGTTTATTAATTTATTGATTTTTCTATACAGTTACTTGTATTTACGGTAAGTTATCGTCAATAATGTTCTGTGTCGCGATTGATCAAAAATAGATCTGTTAATGCTTGATTTAATCAAGAATCGATTCTAGTATGTTCAATTTGCATCGATTTGGAGATCGTATTTTTTTCATGAGAGACTGACAAGTGACTATTTAGTGACATCAAAAATAGGAGCGCCAAATACGATACAACTTATGAATATTTCCTAAGATTTATTATAGCCGTACGTTAACAGTATACCATCTATAATAGTATATATCATATTTTGTCATACGATAATATTAATACCATAACACTGTCCTACTTTACTTATAATAACACGTACGTCTCAACTTTTTTCTTTATAGGATAGGGTGACAAACAAGCACACAGTCCACCTGATGGTAAGTGGTTACTCTGACCCATAGACATCTACATCTATCCTCAATAAAGACTCAAAATGCAGATGCGTTGTCACCCGTGAGGACTAAGATGGAATGCCTCTTTTCCAGTAAAAAGGGTCACCGGTTCTCCACACTCACCATACAAAACACAGCAGTGTTAAGCTGCAATTTTACGCTGGTATTCTGTGGTCCTTCCACGGTCGAGCCGACCCATTCGTGCTCATCAACTATACTACTAATATAGCTCCAGCATGGCTCTACCACGTATAATCCTCCATACTTGTAACAATATTAATAATAATATCTGTATCTAGTCTGCAATATTGCTCTTTAAAAAAAACACATTTATAATTAATGCAGTAACGATAAGTTTTTTTTTAAATTAATTGTCGTAAACTCGTAAGTTATCGTTTAGTAAGGACGTAAAATATACTCCTGTCTAAACGATCATTAGACAATACTGAATAATTATCTTTACGAATATTTTTCTTCAGCAATATTCTAAATACCTATTCAAAATCGAGTATGACATTCAATAGGTATAGTAGGATTTTAAAATTATACTTGTAGGGAATAATATAAAAGAATATAAAGAAATGGTAATATAATATTTTTACTGTAGCTTCTTTTAGCAACTTTATTCGAAATAAATTAAAATGTAATTCTGATTAAAAAATATACAACAGTTCATTAAAAATTCAATAATCGATTACAATCGATTGGGCATCCCTAATCATTTTTCGACACCACATGATGTTTGGCGAAGATGGCGGCGGTTAATGTTATTAGTCGAATATAATACTTTTTAATGTTCATTTTTGCATGCAGCTAGTCCGTGTTATAAAAGTATTTGCAACTAATATAATAAAATAAAAAATTAATTATCGTGTATGTCCGATGCTTTTATTACACAGGGCGGGTTTGGACATTGTCCTTTAACCCCCTACGCGGTACTTCATACATAGATCTTCCTCGTGACATAAAATTAAAAAAGGCTGTTATAAATGTAAAAAACAAGGATTATTTTTGTTTTAAATGGGCGTTACTCTCGGCGTTATATCCCGTAAACAAACACACCGATCGGGTATCATCGTACGTTAAACATGCAAATAAACTTAAATTTGATGGTATTTCCTTTCCGGCTAAAATTTCTGACATAGCAAAAGTAGAGAAATTAAATGATATTAGTATTAATGTTTTTGGGTTGGAATATAATAAAGAAAAACGATGTAATTCTATAGTAGGTCCATTATTTTTAACAAAGTGTCGTAAAGATAGACATATCAATTTATTATTTTTTTCCAAGCATACAAAAAATCATTATTGCTATATAAAAAATTTATCGCGGTTAGTTAGTAAACAAATTTCAAAAGACGGTCACATCATGTACATTTGTGAAGCATGTCTACTTCGTTTTCCATCTCAGGAAAGGTTAAATAACCATGAACAATACGATTGTGCCCACATTTGTACAGTATTACCAAACAGTGAAACTTTAAAAAAAAAGAATTGGTTTGGTCAACCTATTTCAAATGATAAAATTAAATTTGATAGTTATGAAAAAAAGTTAAAGATACCATTCGTAGTTTATGCTGATTTTGAAGCATTTTTAAAACCAATAGAATCATGTTCTAACGATCCTTCCAAACCTTTCACTCGTAATATTCAGAAACATGAAGTACATAGTTTTGGATATTATATAAAATGTTCATATGATGATAAATTATCAAAATATGTAACATATTGCGGACCCAACTGTGCACAAGTGTTTATGGAAAGTTTATCTAACAATCTAAAAGAAATAAATAGACTTCAAAAATATCCGCCACTTCCGCTAACAAATGAAGACAAAAACCAAATTTCAAATGCAACCATTTGTCATATTTGTGAAACTGAGTTGGCAAAACATTTTTATGATTTTGATTGGTACACTGGTAGTTTTATAGGTGTTGCTCATGAATCATGTTGTTCGAAGTTCAGAACACCTCGTTATATACCAATATTTTTACACAACCTTAGTCACTATGATGCTCATTTTATTGTTCACGCGTTAAACTTTTGTGATGGTGAAGTCGAAGTTATCCCTCAAAATAAAGAAAAATATATATCCTTTTCCAAAAAACTAAAAGTGAATAACCACGAAATTATATTGAGATTCTTAGATTCATTTAAGTTTTTACCGTGTAAATTAGAAGAATTGGCCAAAAATCTCAGTAATGATCAATTTCAAGAATTACGTAGAAATTACCCTAATGATGAAGATTTCTTTCGTTTAAAACGGAAAGGTGTTTATCCATATGAACTTATGACTAATTATGATAGTTTAAGCCTAACATCGCTCCCTGAACAAAAATGTTTTTATAGTTCGCTCACAGATTCACATATTTCAAATGATGATTACAATCATGCTAAAGATGTTTGGGAACATTTTGGGTGTTGTAATATGTTAGATTATTCAAACCTGTATTTAAAAACAGACGTTTTACTTTTATCCGATGTATTTGAAAACTTTAGAAAGTTATGTATTAATACATATGATTTAGACCCTGTCCATTATTACACAGCACCCGGTTTAAGTTGGGATGCAATGTTAAAATATACAAAAATAGAATTAGAACTTTTAACAGATTATGAGAAAATTGCATTTATTAGATCAGGTATCAGAGGTGGTGTATCTCAATGTAGTAATCGTTATGCTAGAGCTAATAACAAATACATGGAGGATTATGATACAGGGAAACCAAATTCATATATCACATATTTTGATGCCAACAATTTATATGGTTGGGCTATGTCTCAATATCTTCCTACTGGTGGATTCGAATGGGTAAATTCAAATACAGAATTTAATGTGTCTAAGACATCAGACTTCGGTTTTATTTTAGAAGTTGATTTGGAATATCCAGATGAACTTCATGATTTACATTCGGACTTTCCTTTATGTCCAGAAAACATTTGTGTAGGCAATATTAATGAGAATAAACTAGTCCCAAATTTAAATAATAAAGATAAATATGTAATTCATTACAGAAATTTAAAGCAGTGCATAGAAATGGGGGTTAAATTAACTAAAATTCATAGAGTTTTAAAATTTAAACAGTCTCCCTGGTTGAAGATGTACATAGATCTAAACACAAAATTAAGAACTTTAGCAAAATCAGATTTCGAAAAAGATTTTTATAAATTAATGAATAATTCAGTCTTCGGTAAGACTATGGAGAATATTGAAAAAAGGGTTAACATAAAATTAGTTACGCACTGGGAGAACCAGGGTAAAGGTGCTCAAGATCTAATCGCTAAACCACAATTTCATAGCCTTTCAATATTTTCGGAAAACCTAGTTGCGGTTCAGTTGCGAAAAACGAAGTTAATATATAACAAACCAATTTATTTAGGGTTTTGCATTTTAGATATTTCAAAAACATTAATGTATGATTTTCATTATAACTATATGATTAAAAAGTTTAGTAAAATCAAATTATTGTATACAGATACGGATAGTTTAATATATCATATATTTACAAATGATTTTTACACTGATATAAAACCTGACCTTTCATCATACTTTGATACCTCAGATTATGATACAAATAATATTTTTGAATATCCAAAATTAAATAAAAAGAAATTAGGTTTTTTTAAAGATGAAAATAATGGTAAAATCATGAAAGAATTTGTGGGTTTACGATCCAAAATGTACGCTTTTAACTTAGAGAATAAGACTATAGCCAAGGCAAAAGGGGTAAATAAATGTATCACTAAAAACATGACAATGAATAGTTATAAGTCTTCTCTATTTAATAAAAAAGTGCAATATTATAGTATGCTTAGATTTAAATCAATTAAACACACAATTTTCACACAAAAATTAAATAAGATAGGTTTATCATATAATGACACAAAGAGACATATTTTAGATAATAATATTGAAACATTAGCTTGGGGTCATTATAAACTGCGTTAAGTGTTGATAGTTTTTACTTTTATGTCTGCGTTTAAGAAAAATTTATATTGATTGTAAAATTATGATAATACTATAATATGACGTAGTTTATTACATATTTAATCATTGTTTTATTGTAAATAATTTAAGTTAATTGTTGTTTCTATTTATTTGACGTTGAGTTAATTGTAAAATTATGATGTACTAATTGTTGTTTCTATTTATTTGAGGTTGAGTTAATTGTAAAATTATGCTGTACTAATTGTGTTAGAAATAGTATACAGATAATTCTGTTTTATATAATTTTTGGAATATATATTAATTGTTTACACCAACACTTTCATTTTTTATTTCACCCCTTTGAACTTTAGACGTGTGTTATGTTTCACTTTATCCATCCGTTCACTGCTATTGTGGCAGGACCAAGTGGGTGTGGGAAGTCAAATTTTGTAACAAATTTCATAAAATCAGTTACAGAAATATGTAATTGTGATTTTAATCAGATCACATGGTGCTTTGATGAAATGCAACCATTATATAATTTACCAAATGTTAACTATCATCAAGGAATTCCAAATCTTAATATGTTTGATGGTGAAAACCCACATCTTGTTATTATTGATGATCTAATGAGAGAGTCCGATGGAAGAATTGTGGATATATTTACAAAAGTTAGTCATCACAGGAATCTTAGTGTATTTTATCTAACACAAAATTTATTCCATCAGGGTAAAGGACAAAGAGATATATCTTTAAACTCAAGTTATATAATATATTTTAAAAACCCTCGAGATAAAACTCAAATAAGATATTTAGCAAGACAAGTATCACCAGATAACCCAAAATTCATTGAAGATGCCTACAGGGATGCAACTCTAGAGGCGCATGGATATTTAATGGTAGATTTAAAACAGAATACCAATGATTTTTGTCGTATCAAGACAAATGTCTTTCCATTTAATGGTTTCTGTACAGTCTACGCCCCCACAAAAGAGTTTAAATACACCAAGAATCAAACAATTGAAATCATTTTTAAATGATGCATCGTCGACTCACAACGTATAAACATTTGCTAACCGCTTTGCATACGCTTAAACCAAAATATCAAAGAGCATTACTTAAAACGTGTGATGAAGAAGAAATTAACTGTATTTGTGAGTGTATTCATAACGTTTTACAAGGAAAAGTACCTCTTAAAGATCAGGATAAACAAAAATTGAATAAACATAAAAACATACTCCGTAAACTAGTACGTAAGTGTAAACATAAACTAAGAAAAAATATAATTATACAAAAAGGAGGGGCTTTCTTACCAACAATATTAGGTGCAATATTGAGTGGATTAGTGAGTGGACTAGCCAGTTAACATGGAAAATGCAAAGAAAATGATACTTATCGAACCTGGATTGATTGAAAAATTAAAACAAGAAAATAAGGTTAATAGTAATTTATCTCGATTAGATATTGAAATGCAAAATATTATGAATAGTAAGACGGAAGACCGAAAGAAATGGATATTATATTTACAAACACTGCAAAGATACCTTCATTTTACCGAAGAGGATAGTCAACCACTCAAATTACCAATTTATTCTGATACATCTAATGAAGATTCAAATGAGTCAAAAATTGTTTTTAAAAATAAAGATAGAGATCTAAAAACTTCAGTTGATATTGAATCTTTGCTGGAGGAGAATCGATCCATTAAAAGTAAAGAAAATGATGAAAATCCACTTTACACACCAGCTCAAATACTCAGTTTAATACCAAAAACTTATCATAAAAAAGGGCAGTTATTATTAAACTTAGTTGAAACAAGTAAAAGTAAAATACATTGGGATAATGAAGGTACAGTCATAATTGATAGTGAAAAAATTCCTGGAAGTAATATTGTTGATTTAATAAATGATTCACTAAGACCCCTAAAAAGAAGTGATCCGGTAGGGTGGGTTAGATTTGCTGAAGCATTAAAAGATATTAAAGTACCACTTACTTATATTGGAAATCCAAGGAGATGTGAGTTTATTAACCAACTTCAAGCAAAAGATCTGATCAAACCCTCTGAGATTGAAGTTCAAGAGTTTTCTACACCGGGCAGTAGAGATAAAAAGTCTACAACTAAAATACGTAAAGGACTTGAGTGGGAAAAATGGACCCCGTACTAGAAGAAATTAACAGGATTTATTATGATCCATCTAATCCCGCTGGTTTTGGTAGTATTGATAAATTATCAAAAGCCATGAAGGGTTAAATGAATAAAAAGCAAGTAAAGGAATGGTTAAAATCACAAGAAACATACACATTACATAAACCCATTCGAAAAAAATTCCCGCGTAATAGGTACATTCTATCAAATATTAATGAACTGTGGCAAGCTCATTTAAGTGATATGCGAACTTATTCTCAATATAATGATGGTTTCAAGTATATACTTTGTGTAATTGATGTATTTAGTAAATATGCTTTTGCAAGACCAATGAAAAAGAAAAACTCAGAAACAACTAAAGAATGTTTTGAAAGTATATTTACTGAAAGTAATTTAACACCTACTCACATACAATCCGATAAAGGTACAGAATTTGTTTCAAAAGATGTACAAAAATACTTTAAATCCAAAAAGATTAATTACTATACCACTAACAATCCTGACATTAAGGCCAGTATTGTTGAACGATTTCAAAGAACACTAAAAATGAAAATGTGGCGTTATTTCACTCATAATAATACTTATAGATATATAGATGTTTTACAAGATTTAATATACTCTTATAATCACAGCTTTCACTCTAGTATTAAGATGTGCCCATGTGATGTAAATTCCAACAATATTATGACAGTTTGGACTAATCTTTATGATAGACGGACAAAAAAACTTTCTTTAGAAAATCCTAAACCAAATTTCAATGTGGGTGATTATGTTCGAATAACTAAATATAAACATGTATTCCAAAAAGGATATGAATCAAATTGGAGTGATGAAATATTTATTATATCTTCAATAATTGATAGATCTCCATGGGTTGTTTATACAATAACAGATTTACAAAATGAACCAATAATTGGTACTTTTTATGAAAGAGAATTACAGAAAATCACTTACAACCCCACCTCACAACATAAAATAGATAAAATAATTGACACTCGTTATTCAGGTAACAGAAAAGAAGTATTAGTGAAGTGGAAAGGTTATCCAGATAAATTTAACAGTTGGATTTTAGCTTCTAGTTTAAAAGAAATATGAATAAAGAAAGTTTCTATTTAACTTTGCTCAGCAATAGTTCAATGGAATACTTTCCTGATAACAAGACCACAAATTTTTCAACGAAATTACCAAAAGCTATAAAATTAGAAGGTGAATGGTCGGTTGGAGTTGTCGAGTTTCAATATCCATGTACCATGTTTACTGTTCAAGACCATGAAAATGTTATATACATTACAAAATCTATGTTAATGCCTAATGAAGATAAACCATCCACAGTGTACTACAAAAAACATATTCCAGCTACCAACTATGATAATGTTGAGCATATTTTAAGAGTGTTAAATGGTATCGGAGAGAACTTGAAATTTCGCTATGATGAAATAACAAAATTTGTGTCTATTTCGGTATTGGATAAAAATATAACATCCGTAACATTATCACCCAAATTAAGTTTACAGCTAGGTTATGAACCAAATAAAAATCTCCTAGAGAGAAATTTTGGAAAGTGTCCTGCTAATTTACACTTAGGGTTACCATCTCAACTATTTCTATATTGCGACATTATCGATCCTCAGATTGTGGGTGATGTTATGACTCCTTTATTAAGAGTCATTTCATTAGATCCTACAAAATACATTTATGGTGCAAATAAAATGCACGTTTTCTCTCAACCTCACTACTTACCTGTTATGCGAAGAGAGTTCGATACGCTGGAAATAGTTATAAGATCGAGTACAGGACAAAAAATACCATTCCAGTTTGGAACCGTGTGTATTAAACTACATTTCCGAAAATTATAATAATGAATTCTCTTCGTGATCATCATAAATGTCCATATGAAAATTATTATACACATCAAGCTGGATCAGGAGTTGGAGTAATTTATAAGGGTTCACCATATCAACGCGGTCATGGTATTGGGAGCTTCTTAGGGGGGTCATTCAGATCAGTTTTACCTTTACTTTCAAGTGGTGCTCGAGTGATTGGTAAGGAGGCATTAAGCGCTGGAGTAGGACTTTTATCGGATATGGTTCAAGCCCGTCCTATGGAAGCCTCAATAAAAGATCGTCTAAAGCAAGTTAGTACGAATTTAAAACGAAAAGCTGATGAGAAAATTGATCAATTTAACATGACTGGATCTGGGTATAAAACTAAAAGAAAACGATTGACATCGTTCATTCCACCATTAACTGCTAAAGTGAAAGCTGCGAAAAAACTTTGTCTAAAACCAAAAAATATCAAAGATATATTTTCAAACTAAATATGTCTTTCCTTCATAATCATTCTTGCGAGTGCGTTAAGTCAGAATTAGATTTTTTTGCACAACCGTCTACACAAACTAGCATTGAAAATGGATTGTGGATTCATTATAAACCAATTTCATCTCTTGGTGATGATGGACCTATCGAGTTTCAAGTTCCTGGGACCGGCGATGACTACATAGATTTGTCTCATACATTACTCCACATAAAGGCAAAAGTATTAAATCAAGATTCAACTAACTTGGTATCTACTACAATAGTAGCACCTGTAAATAATTGGCTGCATTCACTTTTTAGTCAACTTGATGTTTATTTAAACCAAAAACTTGTATCACCACCTAATAATACCTATGCATATCGAGCATACATGGAAACCCTTTTAAACTATGCCCCTGCTGCTAAACAATCTCATCTTACTTGTAGTCTTTGGTATGAGGATACAGCAGGAAAAATGGATTCTACAGATGGTAAAAACATAGGATTTGTTAAAAGACAGGAATTGATTAGTGAAAGTAAGGAAATAGAAATGATTGGTCATCTTCACGGTGACATTTTTAACCAAGATAAATTTTTAATTAATGGTGTTGAAATGAGTGTTAAATTGGTTCGATCAAGAGAGAGTTTTAATTTAATTGGTGGGTCAAACGATGTAAAGTTTAAAGTTTGCATTACGGACGCAACTCTTATTGTTCGACGAGCACGAATTAATCCAAGTGTGTTACTCGCACATCAAAAAGTTTTAGCTTCTACCACTGCTAAATATCCTATTACTCGAGCTGAAGTAAAAGTTTTAACAATTCCTTCGGGTGTTCAAGGAAAAACTCTTGATAATATATTTTTAGGACAGGTACCGAAAAGATGTATAATTGGATTTGTGAACAATTCTGCATTTAATGGTTCCCTTACTAAAAATCCATTTAACTTTGAAAACTATGGTATTAATTCTTTCAGCTTATATATTGATGGTCAACAAATACCTTCAAAAGCTTTGCAACCATCTTTTAATAATAGCATATTTACATCAGCATATCATACTCTATTCTCGGGAACTGGTATTCACTTTCTTAATGAAGGAAATGGAATCTCTTGTGAACAGTATGGCAAAGGTTACTGTCTATTAGCATTTGACTTAACTCCTGATTTATCAGCTAACTCATCAACTCATTGGAATCTCATAAAGCATGGTAGTGTAAGAATAGAAGTACGATTTGAATCCTCATTAATACAAACAATTAACTGTATAGTTTATGCTGAGTTTGATAATATTATTGAGATAGATAAAAACAGAAATGTTACTGTAGACTATAGTAGTTAAGTTTATAATATGTGTTGTGTGTTAGATTTTATGTGTTATGTGTAATGCATTTTGTGTGTATGTAACTATGTGAAACGTTATAAAATTAAATAAAACAAATTGTATGCAATATATTTTTTTTTATTTCTTTATAAATCTTCTATTTAATCAAATACAAAACACTGTTCGAGTTGAAATTTTACATAAGCACACTGACTAAACCACTGAACATGCTGCTGCCAAGGATCATCATCATCTTCCCAATCTTTTAAACCACCACCACAATGGAAACACTTGGTCCCGTCTGCATGACCAGTATAAAAGAAACCAGCTTCTGCAAGATCTTCAGGTTTCTGTCGCATAACGAGAGGCCAGTTTTCGAAACTAAGCAAACGGTTAGATTTTGAACTGAAGAATGGATATTCAGCTCTTGAGTACTGCATACTCTTCTCGTTTTCTTCTCCACTCAGTGTTGTAGTTTTGTTCTTCAATGATGTGTTTTGTACACGAATGCCACACTCATCTCTTCCTTCCACTCTTGTCTTCCTGTAATTGAAGTAAACAGAATCACATTCACTAATGATCAGCTAATGACTGTCATTGTTAAAAAATTATTTTTTAACTTTTTCACTTTCTGCTATTGTCTTTGTTATATTGTATACGAGGGCGTTTGTGTTGTCGTAGATGCTATCCTTATTAGTCTTTACGTAATATTTAATTCTCGTGGAAGCATGTTTCCAATGATCAGTAGTTGGAATCTTGGATAGCTTCTTCATATCGTACATTTCAATTTTGATGAGATGCGTCGCTTGGTCTCCGTCGTCAGAATTAGTAGAAATATATGATACACCATCTCTAGCGGCTCGTGCTACGGTTGATGATAACAGCTTCCTCTTTTTTATTTTTGATTCAGCTTCAAAAAAATGATCAATCGATTGCGATTTTCTTTTTCCACCATCGCATGTGTTATTATTAATGACGAGGTCATCACTCTCTTCTTGAGGGGAGAGTGGCGAGTAGTAATACTGTTTATAGGTATTTTCATCGAAGCTCAATGATTTCTGCAACAACACAGTTATCATGTTAATATTAATTTGTTAACACTTAATCATAAAAGTTAAAAAAGTTAAAGTTACAGCCTATGCTAACCATCTGAGTTACCACGGCTTAATCATATACATACACAATATTTAAATAAAATAATACACACGCATGAAAATAACAGAAAAAAAGTAATTTAGTCAATAGAATAAACACTTACATCCATAGCCTTTGGTGCATTGAAGTAACACAAATGTACTATTGATAGATCCACTGCAGTCAAACGACTATACACTAACTCGATGACTGCGTCTGTTGGTCTTATATACCACCAGTACGTAAAAATTCTAATCTAAAGTATTTCCGTAATGAGTTGATAATTACTTTAAATGCGTCAACCAGTTTATCTCACATTTCCGTTGCCTATCTCAACATTTCTTCTTATTGTGTTTTGTTTGGTGATCAATGACTCAAGTACGATTTGTATAACACAAAAATGCAATTTAATATTTAGAAATCACTATAATTGACCATTCCTATGTTATTCATTGAGTAGATTGGTACTGTAATAATCTACTAATAGCAGTAATATCATGGATACACAAGATGTACAACAACATCTGAAAAAGATTCACCCCAGTCTAGAAAATAATGTTTATGCAGCTAATAGACTACCTACGTATACCCACGTACCAACGTATATAATATGCAATTTGGATACAGATGATAAACCAGGGTCACATTGGGTAGCTTTATATATCGATACGAATGACGTCGGTCAATATTTTGATTCATATGGACGATCACCTGTACGATATCATCTAGAGTTTTTAAAAAGGAATTGTAAAAGATGGAACTGGAATGTTGATAGGATTCAGAATGAGTGGACTTCAGTTTGTGGCGAATATTGCTTAATGTATTTGCTATATAAGTTTCAGGGATGTTCAATACATAGTTTAACGAGTATATTTACAAGGAACACATTGTACAACGATATTTTAGTGGATGAGATGTTTCGCTCCTATTTTATAGATAATAAGTAATAAGATTTTGTATTTTATAAATAAAAATTGTAACAAAATTATGTAATGTGTTTTATTGATGATTCAGATTAGCGTTGTATAATTAGGAACAAAGAATTATAATACAATAGCACTGATATAGTCGACGCACACGCTGCAATGAAGGTGATTAATGAACAATAGAACAATAGAAATAGGAACAATGGGACGCTAATGACGGTGGAGGCCCTTACCGGATATCAATTAGATATTAGCTAATTGATCTTCACATCTCCGGAACCGTGCATCCTACACAAAAATGGACCGTAGATTCGTGATCAGAGCATGCCAAAACCTTTTTTTTTTTAGGATCGTGTGTCGACGAACGTCGTTGAACCGCTTCTGACTCAGGTGGTCTAGAAGTGGTACAACTACACTACTATAACATATTTTTATAGAACCCGAAACAGCGTCTCAGCTATCAAGAAACCAGTAAGTCAAGAGTCGCCGATATTGTAACTATAAAGTACAGATCTGACGAAATGAAACTATTCGAGAATAAAATATACACAAAATAGAGAATTTTACGCTAAGTATTTGCGTTTTGTCTTCTAGACTTGAGTGAATTGAGTTTATTTCAATTCTATGTAAAAGAGCTTTTCGAAATTCAGAGCTTGCGTGTATTTCAATGGAATAATGTCTGTTATCTTCACCGAGTTTTTCCCAGCCGTAATGTTAACTTGAATTTTGGAATTTGTAACGCCATCTGCGAGTTTAATTTGAAAAGTTTGTGATTCTTAAAATTTATATTTATTTTTTTGAATACATAATAGGTATATATTTTATAAATTCTAGCTTTTCTTTTGTAAAAATAAAGTGACACTCGATCTTAAAGTCCACCTCATGGTAAGTGGCTGCTGCAGTCCATGAACACCTGCAGCCAACTTCAAACAACACCTCTAAAGATGGATAGGATGGAACGCCTCACAGCCTGTAATCTTACTGACTCCTTTTAACCTTCAGACTGGAACACAACAATGTAAGCACTGATATATACACCAAGTTATATGTGAAAAAATTGACTAAATAGGTATTTTTATATCTATATTTACTCGATTACTGCTACTACACATTGAATCTAATTTTATCGATTTAATTTAATTTAGTTTTAAAGTTTGTACTCCTGACGTTTCGAGTGCATCGAAGCACCCATGTGCTACGTTTTTTTATGTGTGTTGCCTCATAAATTTTTTATAGATGAACCGATTATGTCGATTCTTTTTTCATTTGAAAGCTGGTGGTTTTTATATGGTCCCATATAAGTTTGATCAAGGTCTGACCACTAGTTTTTGAGTTATTCTTAATAATTTATATAGAAGTCGATAGTACAAAATTTTTAATTTTACCTCTTGTTATCAGAAACAATCGCGCGTATAATAACCCAACACAGTTTCGTCGCAATCGGATGAATAGTACAGGAACGCAAATAAGACGAACAAACAAACAATCTTTTTTTTGTCTAAAACTTTTTCATGCGCGCTTACAATTTACTAAAGTATCAATAGCATAGGATTCGAATCGATAGACGAACAAATGCATTAACCCTTTTAATTGGAAACGAGGCATTCCATCTTAGTCCTCAGGGTTGACAACACATTTTGATGCTTGATTGAGGATAGATGTACGAGTAGATGTCTATGGGCCACGGCAATCTACTTATCTTCAGGTGGACTGTGATCGTTTGTCACCTTTTTCCTATATACAAATATTGGCATAGCCGTGGCAGCTCTGGGGCTTTTTTATAAAATATTTTTTTATAAAATAAATAAGTGAGCACATTCCACCTAATGGCATGCTTAGTGATGGTTTTTATGTCAAAACAAATATCGGCATGAAGAAGCATTTGTGAACATGCTTCGTCGTAATTGGATGTAAGGTACAGGAAAGCAGAGAAGACGAAAAAACAAACAAATATTATTTTTTGTCAAAAATCTTCGCGTGCGCGTACCCAACAACTCACTATACGATCAGAAGACGAGCAACTACTACTATAGTAATAGATTACTAAAGTCTACGTTGAGTAAAACGTGTTGAAAATATAGTAATTATACTGTATTTCCACAGTATATAGTACATCGTAATTATTTGAAATGTATATTTTCAATAGTGTCTAAAATAAAGATATTTAATTAATCTTATTTATTTATTTATTTATTTTTTATTTTATTTTTATTTTATTTATTTAACAAACTACAGATAATACAGAGAATATATTATGGTACAACATAAGCTTAATGAAAACATTACCGTGTACCACAAGCCGCCGACTTAAAATTTGACAGATAAGCTACATCTTAATCTATAAAATATGTATAACGCAACACTATTAAATAGCAATTGGCACAGTTAACAGGCGATAAATCGGCAATACATAATTAACTAATAGTGCATTAAAAGACGTGAGTCTTGCCACCGCCCACTTCGCCGCGTCAAAAACCGGTCGTTCCTGCGTCGCGTATACAGAAGGTTATAAAAATATATTGATAATAATTGTGATAATATTTAATAGTGGACGAGTATAATAATTATTATTTGTTTATATGTCATATAGGTTTATTTATGTAGGGAATATAGTTAGTGGGGATTATAGTTTTTTTTTTATTTAGTTTGAGGTTTGATATAGACAGTTTGTATAATAGTTTTTTAAATTGTATTTAATATTTTTATGATTAATTTCATTTTGAAAAGAGGTAGGTAACTGATTAATTAATTAATTAATCAATCTGCATTAAATATAAAAAAAAATAATTAAAAATTACTAACTAGATAAAATCACCATCATTAACACCATCATCATTACATAAAAAAATTAAATTAATAATCTCTTCACAAATTCACTGCTGAACATATTCCTTCCCTAAGGAATGCCACAAAGCACAGTCCCGAGCCACCTGCATCTCTGGAATACCTGCATGTATT